TTCCCACATCTCCCTGCTCTTCCCACATCTCCCTGCTCTTCCCACATCTCCCTGCTCTTCCCACATCTCCCTGCTCTTCCCACATCTCCCTGCTCTTCCCACATCGCCCTGCTCGTTCCCACATCGCCCTGCTCGTCCCACATCGCCCTGCTCGTCCCACATCGCCCTGCTCTTCCCACATCGCCCTGCTCGTCCCACATCGCCCTGCTCGTCCCACATCGCCCTGCTCTTCCCACATCGCCCTGCTCTTCCCACATCGCCCTGCTCGTCCACATCGCCCTGCTCTTCCCACATCGCCCTGCTCGTCCCACATCGCCCTGCTCGTCCCACATCGCCCTGCTCGTCCCACATCGCCCTGCTCTTCCCACATCGCCCTGCTCCCCCCACATCGCCCTGCTCGTCCCACATCTCCCTGCTCGTCCCACATCTCCCTGCTCGTCCCACATCGCCCTGCTCGTCCCACATCGCCCTGCTCGTCCCACATCGCCTGCTCGTCCCACATCGCCCTGCTCGTCCCACATCGCCCTGCTCTTCCCACATCGCCCTGCTCGTCCCACATCGCCCTGCTCGTCCCACATCGCCCTGCTCGTCCCACATCGCCCTGCTCTTCCCACATCGCCCTGCTCGTCCCACATCGCCCTGCTCGTCCCACATCGCCTGCTCTTCCCACATCGCCCTGCTTCCCACATCGCCCTGCTCGTCCCACATCTCCCTGCTCTTCCCACATCGCCCTCTGCTTCCCACATCGCCCTGCTCTTCCCACATCGCCTGCTCGTCCCACATCGCCTGCTCGTCCCACATCGCCCTGCTCTTCCCACATCGCCCTGCTCGTCCCACATCGCCCTGCTCGTCCCACATCGCCCTGCTCGTCCCACATCGCCCTGCTCGTCCCACATCGCCCTGCTCGTCCCACATCGCCCTGCTCGTCCCACATCGCCCTGCTCTTCCCACATCTCCCTGCTCTTCCCACATCGCCCTGCTCTTCCCACATCGCCCTGCTCGCCCACATCGCCCTGCTCTTCCCACATCGCCCTGCTCGTCCCACATCGCCCTGCTCGTCCCACATCGCCCTGCTCGTCCCACATCGCCCTGCTCGTCCCACATCGCCCTGCTCGTCCCACATCGCCCTGCTCGTCCCACATCGCCCTGCTCTTCCCACATCGCCCTGCTCGTCCCACATCGCCCTGCTCGTCCCACATCGCCCTGCTCTTCCCACATCGCCCTGCTCGTCCCACATCGCCCCTGCTCGTCCCACATCGCCCTGCTCGTCCCACATCGCCCTGCTCGTCCCACATCCCCCTGCTCGTCCACATCGCCCTGCTCGTCCCACATCGTCCTGCTCGTCCCACATCGCCCTGCTCTTCCCACATCGCCCTGCTCGTCCCACATCGCCTGCTCGTCCCACATCGCCCTGCTCGTCCCACATCGCCCTGCTCGTCCCACATCGCCCTGCTCTCTCCCACATCGCCCTGCTCGTCCCACATCGCCCTGCTCGTCCCACATCGCCTGCTCTTCCCACATCGCCCTGCTCGTCCCGCATCGCCCTGCTCGTCCCACATCTCCCTGCTCTTCCCACATCGCCCTGCTCGTCCCACATCGCCCTGCTCGTCCCACATCGCCCTGCTCTTCCCACATCGCCCTGCTCGTCCCACATCGCCCTGCTCGTCCCACATCGCCCTGCTCGTCCCACATCTCCCTGCTCTTCCCACATCGCCCTGCTCGTCCCACATCGCCCTGCTCGTCCCACATCGCCCTGCTCGTCCCACATCGCCCTGCTCGTCCCACATCGCCCTGCTCGTCCCACATCGCCTGCTCGTCCCACATCGCCCTGCTCTTCCCACATCGCCCTGCTCGTCCCACATCGCCCTGCTCGTCCCACATCGCCCTGCTCGTCCCACATCTCCCTGCTCTTCCCACATCGCCCTGCTCGTCCCACATCTCCCTGCTCTTCCCACATCGCCCTGCTCGTCCCACATCGCCCTGCTCGTCCCACATCGCCCTGCTCGTCCCACATCTCCCTGCTCTTCCCACATCTCCCTGCTCTTCCCACATCTCCCTGCTCTTCCCACATCTCCCGGCTCGTCCCCACATTCGCCCTGCTCGTCCACACATCGCCCTGCTCGTCCCACATCGCCCTGCTCGTCCACATCCCCTGCTCGTCCCACATCGCCCTGCTCGTCCCACATCGCCCTGCTCTTCCCACATCGCCCTGCTCGTCCCACATCGCCCTGCTCTTCCCACATCGCCCTGCTCGTCCCACATCGCCCTGCTCGTCCCACATCGCCCTGCTCTTCCCACATCGCCCTGCTCGTCCCACATCGCCCTGCTCGTCCCACATCGCCCTGCTCGTCCCACATCGCCCTGCTCGTCCCACATCCCCCTGCTCGTCCCACATCGCCCTGCTCGTCCCACATCGCCCTGCTCGTCCCACATCGCCCTGCTCTTCCCACATCGCCCTGCTCGTCCCACATCGCCCTGCTCGTCCCACATCGCCCTGCTCGTCCCACATCGCCCTGCTCGTCCCACATCGCCCTGCTCGTCCCACATCGCCCTGCTCGTCCCACATCGCCCTGCTCTTCCCACATCGCCCTGCTCGTCCCACATCGCCCTGCTCGTCCCACATCTCCCTGCTCTTCCCACATCGCCCTGCTCGTCCCACATCGCCCTGCTCGTCCCACATCGCCCTGCTCTTCCCACATCGCCCTGCTCGTCCCACATCGCCCTGCTCGTCCCACATCGCCCTGCTCGTCCCACATCTCCCTGCTCTTCCCACATCGCCCTGCTCGTCCCACATCGCCCTGCTCGTCCCACATCGCCCTGCTCGTCCCACATCGCCCTGCTCGTCCCACATCTCCCTGCTCTTCCCACATCTCCCTGCTCTTCCCACATCTCCCTGCTCTTCCCACATCGCCCTGCTCGTCCCACATCGCCCTGCTCGTCCCACATCGCCCTGCTCTTCCCACATCGCCCTGCTCGTCCCACATCGCCCTGCTCGTCCCACATCGCCCTGCTCGTCCCACATCGCCCTGCTCGTCCCACATCCCCCTGCTCGTCCCACATCGCCCTGCTCGTCCCACATCGTCCTGCTCGTCCCACATCGCCCTGCTCTTCCCACATCGCCCTGCTCGTCCCACATCGCCCTGCTCGTCCCACATCGCCCTGCTCGTCCCACATCGCCCTGCTCGTCCCACATCGCCCTGCTCGTCCCACATCGCCCTGCTCGTCCCACATCGCCCTGCTCGTCCCACATCGCCCTGCTCTTCCCACATCGCCCTGCTCGTCCCGCATCGCCCTGCTCGTCCCACATCTCCCTGCTCTTCCCACATCGCCCTGCTCGTCCCACATCGCCCTGCTCGTCCCACATCGCCCTGCTCTTCCCACATCGCCCTGCTCGTCCCACATCGCCCTGCTCGTCCCACATCGCCCTGCTCGTCCCACATCTCCCTGCTCTTCCCACATCGCCCTGCTCGTCCCACATCGCCCTGCTCGTCCCACATCGCCCTGCTCGTCCCACATCGCCCTGCTCGTCCCACATCGCCCTGCTCGTCCCACATCGCCCTGCTCGTCCCACATCGCCCTGCTCTTCCCACATCGCCCTGCTCGTCCCACATCGCCCTGCTCGTCCCACATCGCCCTGCTCGTCCCACATCTCCCTGCTCTTCCCACATCGCCCTGCTCGTCCCACATCTCCCTGCTCTTCCCACATCGCCCTGCTCGTCCCACATCGCCCTGCTCGTCCCACATCGCCCTGCTCGTCCCACATCTCCCTGCTCTTCCCACATCTCCCTGCTCTTCCCACATCTCCCTGCTCTTCCCACATCTCCCTGCTCGTCCCACATCGCCCTGCTCGTCCCACATCGCCCTGCTCGTCCCACATCGCCCTGCTCGTCCCACATCCCCCTGCTCGTCCCACATCGCCCTGCTCGTCCCACATCGCCCTGCTCTTCCCACATCGCCCTGCTCGTCCCACATCGCCCTGCTCTTCCCACATCGCCCTGCTCGTCCACATCGCCCTGCTCGTCCCCACATCGCCCTGCTCTTCCCACATCGCCCTGCTCGTCCCACATCGCCCTGCTCGTCCCACATCGCCCTGCTCGTCCCACATCGCCCTGCTCGTCCCACATCCCCCTGCTCGTCCCACATCGCCCTGCTCGTCCCACATCGCCCTGCTCGTCCCACATCGCCCTGCTCTTCCCACATCGCCCTGCTCGTCCCACATCGCCCTGCTCGTCCCACATCGCCCTGCTCGTCCCACATCGCCCTGCTCGTCCCACATCGCCCTGCTCGTCCCACATCGCCCTGCTCGTCCCACATCGCCCTGCTCTTCCCACATCGCCCTGCTCGTCCCACATCGCCCTGCTCGTCCCACATCTCCCTGCTCTTCCCACATCGCCCTGCTCGTCCCACATCGCCCTGCTCGTCCCACATCGCCCTGCTCTTCCCACATCGCCCTGCTCGTCCCACATCGCCCTGCTCGTCCCACATCGCCCTGCTCGTCCCACATCTCCCTGCTCTTCCCACATCGCCCTGCTCGTCCCACATCGCCCTGCTCGTCCCACATCGCCCTGCTCGTCCCACATCGCCCTGCTCGTCCCACATCTCCCCTGCTCTTCCCACATCTCCCTGCTCTTCCCACATCTCCCTGCTCTTCCCACATCTCCCTGCTCGTCCCACATCGCCCTGCTCGTCCCACATCGCCCTGCTCGTCCCACATCGCCCTGCTCGTCCCACATCGCCCTGCTCGTCCCACATCGCCCTGCTCGTCCCACATCGCCCTGCTCGTCCTTCAACCTCCATCTCTCTGCACCCCCCTCCCATCCCATCACCCCCCTTCTCCCCCCCCTTCCTTGTGCGCGCCCCACCAGTTCCTGACATACGAGGCGCTCAAGAAGCGAGCGCTGGAGGCTTTTTGAGGCGCCTTAAACAATGAGGTGATCTTTGAGGCGCCTCAAAAACCGCCTACCCCCTCCCCCCCCCCTTCCTTGTGTGCGCCCCACCAGTTCCTGACATACGAGGCGCTGAAGAAGCCTTTTGAGGCGCCTCAAAAGTCACCTCCCATCACTCCCAACCCCACCCCACCCCTCCTTGCGTGCGCGCCCCACCAGTTCCTGACATACGAGGCGCTCAAGAAGCGAGCGCTGGAGGCACAGGTCAAGGCAGCAGGGGGAAGGACAGACGGCCCCCACGCCACACTGCTTTCCCCTGCCAACCAGGTGGGTGCGCGCATCCCTTGCCCGGGCTAACGCCTGCCAAACAGGTGGGTTCTTCCCTTGCCCGGGGTGTCCCCCTTGGGACTTGTGAGGCGACTCAAAAGAAGTGGATATCCCCTTTGGATATCCAAACGCGCCTGTGCTTGGGACTTGAATGGGGGTAAGAGGAAGAGGTTGGGGGATTGTGGAAGGGATATTTGCTTCTTGCACGCCTGTGTATGTGTGCAGTGCAGTGTGGCCGTGTCTCTCTCTCATCCTAACCTTCCCCTCCAACAGCCCCCCCCTCCTCCCTGCCTCCTTCTACTGAGGTCCTCTCCTGAGCTCCATCCACTTCCTCGTCCCTCGCCTTCTCCCCCACAACTCCGTCCTCCCTCTCTACCATCATCCTCACCATTCCCCCCCCCCTCCCCCTCTGCTGCCCCCATCCCTCTCCCATCCCTCCCTCCTTCTTTCCCCTTCCTCGTCCCTGCTCACCCCCCTCTCCGCCCCTGCGCATTCCCCCAGTTGCTGGTGGGAGGGGCAGCGGGGTCCACAGCAGCGTTCTGCACCACTCCCTTTGACGTCGTCAATCCACTCCCAATTCCCTTGCCCTTCGCCCTCCCCTCCTCTCTTTCCTCTGACTTCCCTCGCCCTTGGCCCTTTCCCCTCCGCCCCCTCTCCTCACTCCCCAGTTGCTGGTGGGAGGGGCAGCGGGGTCCACAGCAGCATTCTGCACCACGCCCTTTGATGTCGTTAAGACACGCCTGCAGACGCAGGTGAGGGGGGGGAAGGGGGGGTGCATCGGGGGATAGGTGAGGGGGTAAGGAGGGGAGAGGAGCGGAAGGGGGAGCAGGGAAGGGGGTGAACGGGGGGGATGGGCGGGGAGAACGGAGGGCATGGAATGAGCTGTTGTAAGAATCGGAAAGGAATAACGCATGCATGTGTGGATGTGCGCATGTCTGTATGTGGGCATATGTGGACTTAGTGTGTGCATATGTGCATGTGCACGTGTATTCATGTGTGCATGGGCGCATGTTTTCTTGTGCGCGTGTGAATGTGTGTCTGTCTCTCCCCCTCACCAGCTACCAGGGGCGCCCAAGTACAAGGGCGTGGTGGATGCATTCACACGCATCGTCAGGGAGGAGGGCATTGGGGCGCTCTCTACCGGTGAGATGCAGGGGAGGGGCGTTGTGTTGCAACCAGTGCCGTGGTGCAAGGGACTTGGGTTGGATGGCGATTGAAGGGTGGAGAAGGGCGTGCAGTGCTGTGCTGGATGGGTTATGTGGCGGGCACTCTGTGTGTGCGTGCGTGCTTGCTTGCTTGCTCACACTGCATGTGCCTGCTGCTGCAATGGAGCAGCACCAACCCCATCTGCCAGCCTCCATCACCTCCTTTTCAATTCCACACCCTCACCATGCACTGCACGTCTTCCTTAGTATGCTCTAAACTTTCAATTCCCCTCCTCCTCCCTCCCTCCCTTCTGTCGCTCTCCCCCCCTCCTTCCCTCCCTCCCTCCCTCCCCCCCTCCCTCCCCCTCCCTTCCCCTCCCTCCCTCCCTCCCTCCCTCCCTCCCTCCCTCCCTCCCTCCCTCCCCCCTCCTCCCTCCCTCCCTCCCTCCCTCCCTCCCTCCCCCTCCCTCCCTCCCTCCCTCCCTCCCTCCCTCCCTCCCTCCCTCCCTCCCTCCCTCCCTCCCTCCCTCCCTCCCTCCCTCCCTCCCTCCTCCCCCTCCCTCCCCCCCCCCCCCCCCCCCCCCCCCCTCCCCGCTCCCGTGTCCCTCTAGCACCTTCTCCGCACCACGAACCTCTTTCCACTGGCCCTAACCCCCATTCGTTTACCTCTCCCTCCCCCACCCTCCTCCGTCTTCTCCCACCATGCTGAACCGCCGCTCTGAACCCATCTGCACCACCAGCGGGGTGGCTCCGCGGCTGCTGATCTACATCTCCCAGGGCGCCATCTTCTTTGCCTCGTACGAGCTGCTACGCCGCCTGCTGCTGCCCCCCCACTCCCTGCCCCTGCACCCACCGCGCACCCTTGCACAGGTGCAGGCAACCCCGCAGGCACCCCCGCAGGTGCACATGCAGCTAAGAAAGAGGAGTCAGCTGCAGCAGCAGGAGCAGGAGGAGGAGGAGTAGGAGCAGCAGCAGTGGTTGGGTTTGACTTTGATGGTATTAGGAAAGGACATGGCTGTGAGGAAAAGCAGCAGTGGGTTGGAGGGACAGGATAAAGGGGCTTTGGTACAAGGATGAAGTGAAGCGAACAGGGCAGCAGCAGCAGCATCATCAGCAGCAACTTTTGGGTGGACAATTGCGGTATAATGTACCGGTAGTCAGGAATCGCTGATAGCTCACTGCGTCTGATGGCCTTCCTTGTCCTAGTGCTCTCATTCTGGATGTTCGTAGTATTGTACCCATTCTTTTCATTTCCGACACGTAATTCTGAAATTATAAACTAGCTCCAACTGCCACCATTTGCCACATCGTCGGCCCCAAGCCACATGCTTCAGCTGGCAACCCACGCCTTGAACCTTCGCCTAGTTCATTCTTGTTAGCTCTTGCCTCACATTGTATTCTCTTACGTATATCTATTCTGCAATCCTCGTTAGAGCACTCCGTTGTACCTTGCTACTGTAATTCTCTCGTCGACAACGTCGTTCACATCAGTCGCAGCGGCCCCTGGTTCCCTACCTTCCAGGAAATACCCCAGCTTCGTAGCGGCTGCTGAAGGTGCTTACGTCACACGCTGCCCCGCTGTGCCAATAGCAAGGCGATCTCAAGCGCTCGTGAGATGCTAGTGGGCTCGGCGAATGCGTAAAACCCAGGGCATACAGCATGCTGCTGGTATCGCAACATCTTCTGAGCCGATCAGAATTCGCACGCTCCCCACATTTCGTCGCAAAGTCTGCGTCGTCCGTCGCACGGTCTGCGTCCATCGCGCGCGCATCGCAATCGGGGCACCCCAGTGGCGGGCCCGCACTCGGGTGTATATCAAGCCGATCTAAACAGCACAACATTATCAATACAGTATCCCGTTACGTTGTCGTCATTTACGCGCGCCGATCTGATTACGAATCCCCCGCGCGTCCTCCGAGGAATTTGACGAGACATACGCGCGCCTTTTTCCGCGATTTCGGATTGGAAAGACCAGTTCCCGGCAGGCAGGCGTCATCAGACCGCGAATCGAAACGGCGCCTCTGATCCACGAGGACCCGTGAGCTCGCATCCTTGGAGATCACGCTGCCCCTCCCGCTCACTCCGAGCCGGACAACCCCCGCGCCGCACCTCCCACGCGCGCGCTGCTGCGCGGGCCGCTGTCATGCCGCCGCTCAACCCGGATCTGTTTTCCCGGCAGGCCGCGGAGTACGCGCGGCACCGCCCGCGGTACCCCCCCGCGCTGTTCGCGTTCCTGGCGGAGCTCTGCCCCGCGCGCGAGCTGGCGTGGGATGTGGGCACGGGCAACGGGCAGTGCGCCGCCGAGGTAAAAAGACTTGGCGAATTGCAGGGGGTATCACGCGATACTGTAATGCTTCTTCTGACCATTCGAAGACCAGGACTCCGACTGATGCTGCTTGTGCTCCGTTCTCTCCCCTCCCCTCTTCCCCCCTCCCACCTTTTCCCGTTTGCCCCCCTCTTCCCCACACCCCCCGTTCCGCGCAGCTGGCGGGGCTGTTCGCGCGCGTGGTGGCGACGGACATCAGCGCGGCGCAGCTGAGCCACGCGCCCGCGCTGCCCAACGTGCGCTACGCCGCCACGCCGCCCGCCATGGACGACGCGCACGTGCGCGACATCGTCGGGCCGCCCGGTGAGTCGCGTCGCGGCTGGCTACTACGGCTGAGCGCCCTGCGAGCACGCCTCAGCAGTGGTGCATGTACTTGCAGGGCGCTCAGTCGCGTCCTTCTAGGAGCTGCGAGCACGCCTCAGCAGTGCTGCTAGCGGGGGCGAACTTGGGGGGGGGGGGGGGGGGGAGTGGCGGGAGAACGGAGGGGCTAGAGGGGAAGAGGGTTGCTGTCTCCTCTGCTCTGCTTTCCCGCCCTGCAGTGTCACGCGCTCGCTCTCCCCTTTTCTCCTAGTTGTTTCATTTCCAGTTTGTACCTCCCCTCCCCTCCAATCCCCTCCCATCCCCTCCCCTCCAATCCCCTCCCCTCCCCTCCCCTGCACTCCTGTCCTCTAGCCTCGCCTTCCCTCCCATCCCATCGCCTCACCCCCCTCCTTTCTCCTTTCCCCCTCTCCTCTCTCCCTCCCTCCTCCCCCCCTCCCCTCCCCTGCCCTCCCCTCTTCCCCGGCAGCGAGTGTGGATCTGGTGACGGCAGCGCAGGCCATGCACTGGTTCCACTTTGACCGCTTTGCTGCCAACGTGCGTGCCGTGCTCAAGCCACGCACGGGCGTCGTTGCTGCCTGGTGCTACACCCTGCCTCGGTACGTACCAACGCCGTACATGCTGCCACTCGCTCCTCCTTGCCTCGCCTCGCCTCGCCTCGCCTCGCCTCGCCTCGCCTCGCCTCGCCTCGCCTCGCCTCTCTGTATGTAATCTCATTCTTCCTTTCTTTTCTTGCTGCTCAGCACGTAGCCGAATCACTGACACCTCATGCCTCGTCATGCCTGCCTGTGCCCCTCTTCGCTCCCTCCCATCTTGCTCCCCTCCCTCATATTTCTCAGATTTATCCCTCGTTCACCCATTTGTTCCCTGAAGCCAACCATCATAATCCCCACCCCTCTCATCTTCTTTGCCCTGTTCCTCTTTCCCCACTGCCCCATCACCCTTCCCCACCACCCCCCCTGCGTCCTCTCTCTCAGCGTGAATCCACGGGTTGACAGTGCGTTGGACCGCTTCTATGCACGTTCCGACCCCTACTGGGAGCCGCAGAGGCGCTACATTGACCGCTGCTACCGGGACATTCCCTTCCACTTTCAACCCTTGCCCCGTACGTGTGCCCCCTGTGACTTATGTGCCCTGCTAGGTTCTCTCCTAATCCTGGTTGTCCTTTTGCACAATTCTTGGTGGTGTGTGAGGGCTGTGTTGTCTTGATGCATGTGCTGGAACTGGGGAGTCAATGCTCATGTCTCATGCTTTCCCTTTCTGCCTCTCTTGGTTACTCCTACTCCTTAGTCCCATGTGCTTCCTGCTCTGCTCTCTAACTTGTCGACATAACAGAGCTTCAGGAGCAGGGCACAGGTCCCTTGCGATTCGAGTCCATTGTGGAGTGGAGTTTCGAAGATGTCATTGGCTTTCTCTCCTCCTGGTCGGCTGTTAATACTGCCAAGGCGAAAGGCGTAGACCTGTTGGCACCGGACGCGTGTGCTGAGTTGGAGGAGGCATGGTTGGCTGAAGAGAGTGGCGGTGCGGAGGGAAGCAAGGAGAGGAGCTCCAGTGAGGTGCACAGGAGAGTTTGCTTCCCCATTTTTATGCGTGTAGGGACGGTTGAACCCTGAAGCGGGTGTAAGCTCTGTCTGTATGGACTGTGAATACCCACTTAGTGAAGCAGAGTGTCAATATTGACATGTTGCTAAACACGCAACACAAAATTATCCAACCATGGCTGGTTTAATCACCCATGCATGCTACCAGCTTATTCCAACATTTACAAAAGGAAGAGTCATCATTGGTACGGCAGCCTTTTCAGTTACAGTTCTGTTACTTGCTACACGATCTGGATTTTGAGACTGTTCTCTTATCGAAGATAGTTGTTTCGAATTGAGTGAAATCATCGTAATCGTACAAATCAGCATCTAGTTCTTGCCGTTGCTGACATGGATTCGCCACTTGGCTGCTCCATGCGCGCCTATTCGTTGTGGCGCTGCGGCCTCATCCAGTTTCTGCTTGGGCTCAGCAGCGTGTGGCGCAGCGCAACTGTCCCCGCGGACGTGGCTGCATATTTGCAGTTGATGGGATGCTTTTTGCGCACATCCCAGCCGACCCAGGGTTTGGCGGGGGCTGTGGTGCGGGTGCTCCTCCTGACCGCGCGCTGACCTTTGAACGGCGGCGCGGGACCCAAGCAGCAATGAGTTTTTGATTCCGATCGAGGGGACGATTATTGAGCATCTGAGCATCGGACGGCTGGATTTCCTTCTCCCTCCACAACCATTCAGAAAACCTTGGCAGCGCACGCAGATGCCGCAGATCGCCCTTCCAATAGCCGCCAAGGCAAAACGTGCCCTGCCATGCCTTCCGTGGCTGATCTTGAAGAAATCGCCGTGCCCCAGCGGAGTACAGTACTACAGTACACGCGGCGGCGTAACAAGGGGGGCGTGGAACACATCTTCCCACGTTGAGCAGGTTCGACGAGCATGCAACAAGAACTTGCCGCGTGAAAAGTACAAGCTGTCAGCCGTGCTGATCTCTCGAAATGTGCTCTTTGCTGTTTGTGCGTTGCTAGACCTGAGCAGTTTTGCTAGACCCAGCCAGACCTGAGCAGTTTCCTACAAAACTGCTTCCGTCCAATCGAACGAGCACAACTGCACACAGCATCACCTGCCAGATTGGAGGCTCCGAGGCTCCATTTGAAAGATACTCCCGTCCCGTGTCAGCGAAAACATCGATTATTCGGTTTGTGGGCAATTTTTCCTCTTTGAAGCAGCTTCAGACCCGCCATGTGGGCGACCAGTGCTCGCTGGTTTCGACCCAGCGCGCACAGCGGCACGCCGGACTCGCAGCCGAGGAAGAGCCGCGTGCGCGAGCCCGCGAGACCGGCCAGTGAAACCGTCGCGCGCGGCTGTCGCGGGGAACGCGAGGAGGCCGGCAGCGGAGGGCCAGTTGCGCGGGGCCAGCAGGACCATCGCCCAAGAGTCCATCCTAATCCCAGCAGTTTCGATCGTTCCAAGGCTGCCAGGCCCGCTAGTGAATTTGCAACCGGCGAGCGCGATGCGCCCCGTGCGTCAGCCACCGCCGGGGCTGCCGCGCCGTTCTTGGGATCGTCAGCGGTGCGCGGGAAAGGAAGCGACGCTGCTGCGAAAGGCGCAAGCAAGCGCGCAAGCGCGAGGGGCGATTCCGCCAGCGGGGCGTGTCTAGGCGGACTGGTGGACCTCCGCACGCTGGGGTCCGCGCGCGGGAGGGCGCAAGACGCGTCGGGGGAGCGCAAGGCGCTAGCGTCGTTTCGACGGCAGCACATGATGCGATTCTTGGGCGACGCTAATCTGGTCGTGCTGCAACTGCACGGCCAGGCGCTTTGCTGCGGGCGACCGCAGGCAGGATTGGTCGACGACGGCGAGGAAGAGGAGGAGACGGAAGAGGAAGAACGGGGAGGGGAGCGAGGTGAGGATGAGGGGGAGGGTTTTAGGCTTGACGATACGGTTTCCTCGCTGGGTGGCATGGGGGAGGAAGACGAGAGGAAGGAGAAAGCAAAAGTGGATATTGCTGAGACGATGAACGCGAGAGGAGGGTCAACTGGAGAGCCCCAGGGTTGCACCCTGGTGACCTCGGAGAGCGGCAAGTCGAGGGATGTCGCCCCTTTGGCGAAGACGAAAGTTCGCGATGTAGCAGCGTCGCCGCCGCGTGCGACACCTGCCGCGACGCCTGTGACGACGTCCACGCGACTGCGTTCTTCGCGGTCGCGTTTTGAACAGGTGCTGAGCGACTGGGCGGCAAGCGCGCGAATGGCGGCGGATGAAGTCGCACAGGGATTCGATGCGTGCGACGGAACGCGAAACGAGGGAGCCGAGCCGGTGTTGAGAAACGCAGGCTCTTCAGGAGAACGTAGCACCGCTAAGGGAGAGGAGGTGCGGAGATTGGATGCGATCGCGAGTGGCGAAGAGGTATCGCAGCTAAGGGGGACCGCATCTGGCACTGAGGTTGACCGGAGGGCGACGACGGCTCCAGTCGTGGGAGATAGCCCGCAGGTTGCTGCGCGCAGTGAAGGTCGCACAGGTCGCGGTGATGGTCGCACAGGTCGCAGATGTGGCGACGATCGTCGCACTGTTGACGACCCTGCGATTGCGCCATCGAGCGGCGATGCTGATGTGTCCGTGATGCTGCAGCGGTCGGTTCAGGCGGAGATGGGTAGCAAGGGCGGTGGCATGGCGGCGGGTGTCGAAACAGGCGACGGGGCGACTCGCGTGGACGGCGAAATGTGCTCTGTGAAATCAAAGGCGGTGGTTGCGTGGGAAAACCGGGGATGCGGTGATGAGCGATTGGCAGATGCTTCTGCTGATGGGGTGCGTGACTGCAGTGGCGGTAACAGTGGGAGTGGTGAAGATCTAGTTGCCATTCACGAGTGCAAAGATGCACCTTTAAAGCTAGAAGTGGCAAAAGAAGCGGATCTATCAGATTGTGGTGAGGGAACACACGATGGGGGGCGTGCACACAGCAAGGAGGGTCTCAATGGCGTTGTGTTGAGCGAGCAAGGGAGGGGAGGATCAGCAAGGAGGATATTGCCTGGGTCGGTACTGACTGAGAGCAGCGTTAGTCGTAAAACTCGGGCAGAAAGGGAGAGTGGGAAGGCACGGCATGCAAAGAGGCAAGGGAAGGGACGGTTCTCCTGGCTAAAAGTCCGGTGGCCTGTGTGGGGATGAGTGGGTGAGGTGGGATGCCTGGAAGGGTGCGGGTAAGGTGATTCCAGAGCTGCTGTCTTGAAATCTTGTGTACAGAGATGTGGTTAGTGTTTAATTTGAATGGGTTCATTCAAGGAACAACTTCTTATAAGCTTCTTTAGTACTGAAGCTGCATAAAAGGAAAGAAAAGACCTTGTGGAAACAGTAAATCTTAAGCGCCTCTGTCGTGTCGAAACATCGCACCAGAAGTGAAGCAAACCATATCGAAGCACCCGCGAGTCAACCCTCGGAGGTTGAGAGGTTGCTGGAGGTTACGCGAAAGTCAAAGGTCAAGCGACCTTTGACCTGACAAGTGCAGCGCGACAGTTACGGGCACACAACTGACTCGTTACAGAGCAGTTGCCCGAGTCGTACTGTATCGAACCGCAACAGCAACAGCAAATTAGTTACAACCGTATCTTTTCGTATTCCTTGTACTATTATATAATCTTGTATCTCTTCACTATAATCAACTTACTTTGCCCTCACATACCAGCGCAAGGTGGTTCACAAGTTCCTTTTTCATTAAGAACGCTTCCGCTATTACAAAGTTCCTACCCAGAGTTCACCCCCTGAAAAGATTCTAAGGGCTGTTATCAGCCCAACATGGTATGAGAGCTAACAGGGGAAACTCCGCCACTATCAAGTGTTAGAATCTAGCAGCAGGAAATGAATGAACTAAGAAGATGCAGGAGTACAAGTAGTTAACCCTAATTTGGTTGTACCCCATATGGGCTACCCCACTACAGCCTAGACAATATGCTGCACATACAGTTTGACATCAAGTCATCAGAAGCAGTACAAGACATGGCAACACAGAAGGAAAGGAGTTCCTCTAACGGTTCTCCTGGCACTACTCCTACTCCACCTCCTGCCTCTGGCCTGCAGACAGAGGAAGGCACGGCAACTAGACCCAGGGCAACATCCACTGAGACTCCTGCGAATCAACCTGCCAGCTTCGACCAGAGTATGATGGAGAAATTCTTCTCCTTCATGTCCTTCTACGAGCAGCACCAGCAGTCGGCACCTGCGCAGTCAAACAATAGCAACAACAACCATGAGGCGACTCCAATGAGTCTCGACGGCTCATCATATGCGCGCGGAAACCAGCAACAACCTACCTTTGCTCCGTACGAGCGCGGATCAATCAGCTTCATGCCGCACCCGCAAGCTTTACCTGGACAAGACAAACCACTGGACGCGTTACAAGTGCAATCGCAGTTCGCGCACGTTCTGAAGCTGCAGACGTCAAGGCCCTTCGACGGAAAGGACTTCTTTACCTGGTCGTTCGAGTTCGAGTTGATGATGGAAGACGCGCAAATACTTGGCTTCTTCGACGGGTCCCTGCAATACCCAACAAATGGCACACAGTATGAGAAACAGCAGTATACGTATCAGTCGATGATGGCGTATACGATTCTGCTGAGGAACGTCACACCAACTCAGCAGCAGAACATACGTTCTTACCGGGGTTACGGCAACTCCGCTGAGCTCGCGTACAGCCACCTGAAGAGCCTGTATCAAGCAACAGACAGCGTAAATCAAAGCAGGTTAATGGCGCAGTTGACAACAGTTGAAATGAAACCAGGAGAGAAAGGAATGGCGTATATCAGCCGATGTCGCGAGCTGCGCGACAAGCTTCTTCGATGCGGAGGGTCGATCTCTGAAGACGCCTTCGTGACAGTCATCATTGGTGGTCTCGGTCCTCAATGGCGCGCCACCAAAGCTATCCTCCGAGCCCACGGAAGAATCTCTGAAGCAGCACTCTGCGCCGAAATCCACGCCGAGCAACAAGACATGGACCTGCAAGAAGAACGACACAGAAAGAAGACAACGACATCAGAATTTGCGTTCCACACTCAGCGACGCTACAACGACAACAACCATCGACAGCAACAACCGAAACCCATACCTCCCTTCTGCCACATCTGCAAGACTTCAGGGCACCCGCGCACGCACTGCCCGAATCGTCAACAGTCAACGACTCCGCAGCGGCAGCTACGACCTTCAAGCAACCAAATCGCGTCAACGCAGGCGAACTCCACGGCTCAGATTCAAGCTTCAACGACTTCAACGGGACAACCTGCACAAGGAGCAAGAAACATCGTCAGCTGCATGGCAAGACTGAGTGACTCCTGCATCACGGAATCACCACCGTACTACTCACCAGAAGAACAACTCGACGAAACGACACCTCGCCGCGAGTCACTTCAACCGAACCCGACATACGCCGCCATCGCCCAAAGCGAGCCATCCGGGAAAGACACATGGTTCTTGGACAGCTGCTGCGGACAGCACATGTGTTCTTCAGGACGCTTCGTGCAACGAGAGTACCAGCTTCAACGAGAAGTCGTCATCACCGTCGCCAACAATCAAAACCTGCGCACACGACGACAAGGAATTGTTCAACTTCAGTCACGAGAGACAAACGTCATTTTACAAATGTCCAAGGTTTTAATTGCAGAAGGCCTGGGATACAACTTACTCAGCGTCAGCCAGCTGATGGCAAAGGGGATCCATCTTGAAGCAGACAGCACCACCCAAGAGTTCAAGCTGTATCACGGGAGAGGAGGACTCTACATCGGCAAGGCGGTCCTCAAGAACTGTCAGAATGAACAGGCAGGAATGAGTGAACTAGCAGCATGCAGGAGTACAAGTAGTAAACCCTAATTTGGGTTGTACCCCATATGGGCTACCCCACTACAGCCTAGACAGTATGCAGCACATATGTTTGACACACCCCCATAGGCAAAGTGGGGGAGAACAAGGGGTCACAAGACCAGTCAGGGCAAAGCAAGGCAAAACAGGCTCAGGGTGGATCTCGAGGATTCCACACAAATTCCGAGCACAAGCAAGCGGTCACAAGACCAGTTCACATGTAGGTTTATAACAGAGCAAGAGATACAGTGATCACAACCTAGCAAGAGTAAACATGCAGGTATATATATATAGAGATCACAGTACAAACAAAGTCAAGAAGTGAGCAAGTGAGGTCCAGTAGGCACAAGGCCCAAAAGAGTACAAAAGCGCTGATGGTCACAAGGCTGGAGTGCCTTGGTGAACACATCAGCAGTGTTGGCCTCAGTGGCCACGTAACGCAGACAAAGCTGACCACGCTGCTGTAGCTCTCTAGCCAGGAAGTACCGCAGGGCGATGTGCTTCGTTCGGTGCTCCAGTCTGTGCTCCTCACACAAGGCAATGGCAACCTTGTTGTCGACGTACAGCACTGGAGGAGAACGAGGCCTCTCTCCCAAGTCGGTCAGCAGGTAGGTCAGCCAGCGAAGCTCCTGGGCCGCCATGGCTGTGGCGTAGATCTCAGCCTCACAACTGGAGCTGAGAACAGACGAAGAGCGTGTGGAACGCCAAGAAACTGAGCCAGAGCCAAGGCTGAAGGTGTAACCCTGAGACGACCGCTGAGTAGCCTGGTCGTCCGCCCAAGAAGCGTCTGAGTGTCCAGTGAGAACAACTTGGTCTCGCCCTCCAAGCACTAGCCCCATGCCCGACGTACTGCACAAGTAGCGCAACACCCTCTTAGCGGCATCCATGTGCTCCTTCCTGTGACGGCCAGGAGCGACATAGCGTGCAAGGATGCTAAGAGGGTATGCAAGGTCAGGTCGAGTGCAGGTCATCAGGTACATGAGACAGCCCACAAGCTCTGGATACGGGCCACTCGGCTCTACGGACTCATCCGAAGGCAGAGCTGAGAGCGAGTGACCGGTAGGCAGAGGAGTGGACTGAGGCGAGGAGTACGTGAAGCGGAAGCGCTGGAGAACCTGCTGCACCATGTGTGACTGAGTCAGGGTGATGGTGCGCCGTGCTCTGTCCCGGGTGATCCGCAAGCCAAGATAGCTTGTCAGCTCACCCAGGTCTGTGCACGTGTGTCTCCTCTGCAGCTCCGACTTCACGTAGGCGAGTCCTGCAGTGTCAGCAGTGGCAAAGACCAAGTCGTCGACGTACACGAGGATGTAGAACGGCGGCAGCGAAGTGTCGGTACGCAGAAACAGCGACGGGTCAGCAGTAGAAGGCGCGAACCCAAGAGCCGCAAGTGTAGTCCTCAGTGTGTCGTGCCACTCACGTGGAGCCTGGCGGAGACCGTAGACCGGCCGCTGAAGCCTCCACTGGGTACCAGGAGGAAACGACCCAGTGAAGCCAGGGGGGCGGCGCAGCCAGATCTCCTCGTGCAGGCTGCCCTGCAAGAAAGCAGTGCTGAAGTCAAGTGAGTGAAGCTCGTAGTCGCGGTGAGCGGCTATGTGCAGCAGCACCCGAAGAGTAGTCATCTTCGGGGTGGGGGAGAAGGTCTGAAAGAAGTCTACTCCCTCTCGCTGACTGAAGCCTTGAGCCACGTAGCGCGCCTTGAAGACAGGCGGAGAACCCGGCGGCCGATTCACCCTGAAAATCCACATGCCACTGACGATGTTCGCCCCAGGTGGGGGAACCTCGTCGACGTAGGTGCGTGTGGACTTCCAGGAAGCCATCTCTGCGTCCATGGCTGTCTGCCACTGAGAGGAGTAGGGACCCGCCATCGCCTCAGCGTAAGTGCGCGGGGTCGGGATGTCTGGTGCATCCGGGTCTCCCTCAGGGGCAACTAGCATGGACACGAGGTGGGGCAAAGCAGCAGCAAAGCACTGGAACTCCTCCTGTCTGTCCTCAAGGACGTCCGTGCCAAGAGCACACTCACCCCCGACGGACGGAGGACAGGCAGACTCAGACTCAGACTCAGCAACAAGGCTAGCAGCGTAGTCTAGGCGACAGCGAGCAGCAAAGTCAACCAACTCAGCGACCAGAGCAGACGCAGCGGCGGACTCAAAAGTAGGGTCAGTGACAACTGTGGCGAGAAGACGCGTGACAGTGGGACTGGCAGCACGACGGGAGTCAGACTCCGGGTCAGGAAGAGTAGGTAGAGAGGACGCAGGAGGAGACGGCAGAGGGACACGCTGAGGAGCAGTAGAGGGACGCAGAGTCATGTAGTGAGTGCCAGGGAC